CTACAACTACTACTAACACTACTACTAACAACTACTTAACTACTAACAGTACTAATACTAAGAACTACTTAACTATTAACAACTTCTACTACTAACCACTACTACTTACTAACTACTACTATTTACTAACTACTACTACTACTAAGCCTACAACTAACACTACTAACTACTACTAACAACCACTACTACTTACTAACTACTACTATTTACTAACTACTACTACTACTAACCCTACAACTAACACTACTAACTACTACAACTAACACTACTAACTACTACTACTAACACTACAACTAACTACTACTAACACTACTAACTACTACTACTACTACTACTACTACTACTACTACTAACACTACAAGGGTAGGGCTTACCTTGGCGGCAAGAACGGCAAGAGCGAGGGCAGCGACGACGGGGGATGACCACAACAACATGAGATCAAATCGGGCGGTCGGAACGACGCGAGGATCGACGGGCGGTCGGGTTGGCACCTTCCTCTTCTTCCTCCTCCCCCTTCTCTTTCTTCCTCCTTCTCCCTCTGCTGGCCGGTCGTAGGGCACGGCGAGGCCGGTGGAGCTTGGGGCCGGCGGGGGAGCTCGGGGCCGGCCGGGTCGCTGTCCTCAGGGAGCTCGGAGCCCGGGGCGCCGGTGAGCTCGGGGCGGCGGCCGGGGACCAGCGGGACCGGGCGCTGGGCACGGCCGGGCAGGGCGGTCACGGGCGGGGGCGGGCTGGGCAGGGGCGCTGGCCGGGCGCCAGGCGAGCGCCACCGGACGGGGTGGGGGTCGGCCAGCAAGCGGGACGCGGGGCGGGGAGGAGACGAGTGAGGAGGGGTGGGTTAGCCGGCCCATTCGGGCCTTTAGGTTGAAAGATTTGCCGAGTGTCGCCCAGCGGACTTTCTCGGCAAAGGTTTTTTTTTTTTAAAAATCTTTGCCGAGCGCCTGTGACTGGGCTTTCGGCAAAAAAGTTTCTTAGAGTGCCAACCTTGGCACTCGACAAATTATTATTTTTTGTTTTTTCGCTCCATTTTTTCTGGGGCTTTGCTACAGTAATTAAAACTCCATTTCAAAATTTGGGACAATTTTTAGTTTTTTTACTTTATTTCCTTAATTAGTTTTGTTTCGTTGAATTTTTTCGACTAATTCAAATTTGAACTGCAAGTGCATGGAATATTGTAATCTAGTGCTTCGAAAAATATTATTCATGGTATTTGGTGTATGTTGAGTCTCTATCATGAACTACGCATCAAATTTAGCGCATCTTCTTCACATAACATCCGACGCCACTTGCTTGCTCAAAACATTCTTAAAATTATACCAAGTCCATATGATGTCATAACATGACACATCGACAAGTTTCGTAATTTTCGGACTTCATATGGACTTTATATAATTTTAAAACACTTTTCCGGCAAGTGACTCATCATGTTACGTGAAGAAGATGCGCGAAATTTGATGCGAGTTCGTGGATAGAGACTCAACATACACCAAATACCATGAATAACATTTTTCGAGGCACTAGATTACAATATTCCATGCACTTGCAGTTCAAATTTAAATTATATATAAAAATTCAACATAATCAAATTAATCAACCAAATATAACAAAAAAACCTAGTAAAAGCACCAAATTTGAACATGGAGTTGTAAACCAGGTAGGCGGGCCCAACAAAAATTTTGGGGTAAAAAAAATGAAAATTTGCCGAGTGGCAGCTTGGCACTCGGCAAAGACTGTCTTTGCCGAGTGCTGACCCAGGGGCACTCGGCAAAAAAAAATTTAAGAAAATTTTCAAAAACGTATAAAAAGCCTTTGCCGAGGGCCTAACGGTGATGCCCTCGGCAAAGATTGATGGTAGGGGATGGCCATCGTGTCAGGCGGTGTTGCCGAGGGCCAGGCCTAGCCCTCGACAAATAATTATTGTTGCCGTGTGCTTGGCTTTGCCGAGGGTCTGGCCCTCGGCAAAGAGTCTTTGCCGAGGGCTGTTCTGCCCTCGGCAAAGACTCTTTGCCGAGTGCCCGAGCATTTTCCCTCGGTAAATCCTCAGGCCCTCGGCAAAGTTGCTCTGTCCGGTAGTGGTTGCTAGCATGGCTTTCCAATGCAATGGCTTCAGATGAGCTGTTCCTGGAGCTTCCATCCTCGGCTTGCTGTGGCATTGCTTAGCTACTTTGAAGTTTTTGCAGTCTCTCGCTGCTCGCTTGGATGGACTGGATGGGCGAAGGGAGGTGTGTAGATTGAGCTAGGCTCCTGCCTGGCTCACAGAGAGCATAAAATAGCACAACGCATGTATATTCTACCGGAGATAGCGGAGGTAGGTGTGGCAAGTCGATCGTGATACACCTGCAGTTATGGGTCACTGATAGCCTCACAACTGCAGAGACTCATCGGCCGCTAGGTGTTGAATCTCCGTTGGGCAGAAGCATGCATATGATTCACACTGAAACGCTCAATCACCTCTGCCTACTGTCGTGCATCTTCGTTCCCAAAACCCAGAGTTTTCACCATCTAATCTCCCTGGAAAAACGAAGCTCACCTTGTATATTCCTGAAGAAAACGTCAACATACATATACAGACTTGGATAAATAATGTATACAGACCAAAATGTTTTATTTGCGAGGACATAGGAAGTACAGTCAAATTTAAGTTGCTTCTGGACACAAGGGACAATGACACATACATCGAGAGATCGAATACAATCTCTATGACATCCTCATTGCAATGCTGATAGAGCTATCACGACGAAGTGTCAGTGTAGTAATTCTTCGCTTTCATTGGAAGGAAATGGTGCTTTATTCGCCCTTGCTACGTAACTCAGTTGATTGGAAAAAACAAAACAAAACGAAGAAGGAATCGTATATCTCTCCATCCATAACGGAGGAAGAAGAGAAAAGGGAACAAGTAAGATAGAACCAGACTGCACGGAGCACTGTAGTAGTGCTTGCACGTGTTAAGGCTTTGAGCTAGGGGATTCATCATCCTAGCTTGGGCGATGGTGACCCCTTGTGGTGGGTGCACGGATTTGTACCATGGGATATATATGGTGAAAAATGAAGTATAATCATTTTTTTTTTGCGTGGGTCTACTTGGGATTTTAGCCAAGAACAAGAGCTATCTCCGTGGTAACCCACTTCCCTTGGCATGTTTGTATGACTGGAATTTCAGTAAAAATAACACGTGTTAGTAAGGGTGTTGCAATTTTTTGTTTCATGACATGGCACCACAACAGAGTTGAAAATGAAAGATAATATCACATTCATGTCCTTAGGGTGTGTTTGGTTTCCGAACCATGTGGAATGAGTTGGACCTAGGTTGGGTTAGACGCATCTCATGTTTTGGTTCAAGAGATAGAGCCATTCCATTTTGTTTGGTGCGAGGGATGGAGTGGGTTAGGATGGATCTCATTGTCAACACCATTACCTGCTATGTACGTGGGACCCAACTGTCAGCCACTCCCTCACTTCTTCCACCTCTCGTAGTTCACCAGGCGCAAGCACCGCAGCCATTATGCTGGCCCACTGCGAGAGTGCTGCCCTGCCCTGGCGCCTTGACCCGCGTTGTCCCACCCCGGCGGCGAGCACCGCCCAGCACTATCCCACCCCAGTGGCTAGGCGCCGCCCAGCGTTGCCCTACGCCGGCGTCCGGCACATCCGGCCACCGTTCCCTAGGCAGCCCTGCGCGCGGCCAGCCTCTGCATCCCACGCCGCCCAGCGCTCCCTGCAGCCGTCCCCGTGCTGCCCACAATGCCAGTGCAAGCGATGAAGAGAGGGAGCAGGACAAGAAACGGAGGTCGCGACGTCGTCCAAGTGGGTCGAGCCGGTTTATCCGATTTGGAGAGACCAAATCAAGACACATTTGCTGGGAATATTCCCTATGCAGGATGACTCCAACCTAAACACCTTTAAATCCGGGTCCGACCCATTCCATCCCACTCCAGCCCTCAAACCAAACGCACCCATTGAACATTGATGATCCTACTCATCAACACCACAGAAAGTGAGCTGCAAATTCGTCAAAACAATACTGTTAGCCTGATTTGGTAGTTGAGATCCCATTAATAATGCATGAAGATTTTCAATGTAGTCGTCCTCTCTAGAGCCAAACACAATGCAGGAAGATTTCCAACGAGGACGCGTCTTGTGTCTGGTGGTGTCTCTGCCAGCAGCTATATTTGTCTATCTATATTTCTAGAAGAAAGCAGCAAAAATTGGACTTTTCAAATAAAGTTTGGCAATGGGTGATACTTGTTGATTCGATGCATACATGAAGAAAACAGTTGTGATCCAAGACAATACTTGTTCACATTATTATAGCACAAGTCTCGATCGATCGAGCGATCCGTCCATCTCTGTCTTGTCTTCCACGAGGCAATCTAACTTTGTCCCCATCATTCATGTGCCATTTTTTTTTTGAACAAGTCATGTGCCATACTCCCTCCATCCTGACGATTTGTTGTGTGCAACTGTTGTGTAACTATTCCCTCTGCTTCAAATTATGACATTTTATTTTTTCTATGTTTGTAGTTTTTACTATGCATTTAGATATACACTGTGTCTAGATTCATAATAAAAATAATGTATCTATAAAAGTCAAAACGTCTTATAACCTGGAAAGGAGGGTTGGAGTACTAATTAAGCTCCCAAGGAACCGTATCTTATTTTTCTTTGAGAGTGAACAAGACATATTTCACCATTTCTTTTAGTTCAAATAAAAACAACCCTAACAGCCTCGCAATGCTTTCGGATCTCTCTGATACTTGAGGCTCATGTGAAGGCCAAAAGGGTAACGAGGAAGAGTTTTTATTTTTTTTTTAAGTGAGAATTTCTTTGAACAAACTACTAGAAACGCAAGGTGTTTGTTGATTATGGGCTAGATAACCCATGTACCTTTATCTAGGAAATAGAAATCCCATTTCCAAATCTTACAATGGATGACTTGTTTATTCATGTAAACACGAAAATATGATACAAAAAGCATACAACAAGATATAGAAAAACAGAGATACATATTATAGCACAAGGCCTGATCCTTTGAGCTTCTCTTCCACAATGCAATTTAGCTTTCTCCCCATCTCCTCGTTCATGTGATTCACCCAGTCACCCACCTTTCCTTTCCTAAAATATGATGACTTCTCAATAACTATGTTGCCAAGCCGAGCAAATTCTCCTGTTTGGTTTGTAGACAAGCTACTAAGCTTCTCGAAGCTGCACAACCTCACCACCTCCTCGGGTATCCCGTCCTCTATTTCCTTAATACTAAATGGAGCACCCAGGAACGTTGCAAGCCTTATGACGTACTTTGTTGGCTCTAAGGTCATATCCTCATACTTGAGGAAAAGAACATTATCAGGTTTTGCAATACTCTCCCTCCAGTACTCGAGACAATGGTTCCAAAAGGGTCCATTGCTCGAGAAACCTTCAGCGAACATGTCGAATGTTGTTTCCATGTCAACAGTGTCCCCTATGCATCTTATTATCAAAGTGCCACCGAGACACAAAGGCATCCTTAGGGTCTCGACAGATATACACAAGTCGACACAACCACATTTTCTATGGACTTCGGGAACAATGAAAGAGGCATATGAGTGGCAAGAAGCCTTGGGGATGGGAGGTTCTCCAAATAGGCAAGGTTCTCATGGGTAGGGGCCTCTATGGATGGTACCACCTCTTGAGGATGACGAAAAAGAAGAGGGTGGCTGCCAAAGTCATACCGGAAGCGGTTGATGACTGTAAAGGCGAGGGCTTTCAGCCATGTGGTGCCGCACTTGGGGTTGGTAGCAAGGATGACATCTTCCGGGCGAGGTTTGAAGCCATTTTCGATGCGCAGCCTGCTCTGTACGAAGTACGGGCGGAACCAGTAGTTCTTGTAGAGCACCAGTGGCTCTGACCACCCCTCTCTTGCTGGGAGTTTGGATATAAGACGCGCAGCATGGCTTTCGAATGAAATGGCTTCGATCGGACGAGCTATCTGTGGCACTTCCATCCTGAGCTTGTGACATAGCTCAACAACTACTCTGGAGTTTTTCCAGTCTCCCTCGATGGGAGGTTTGGATGGGCATGCATGCAAGAGGCCAGTGCAGATGGTGCGAATTGAGGTGCGCGCTGCTTGCTCGCGCGGAGCATAAATAGCCCAGGCATCATGCATGTCGCCTTTATCTAATTAAGGTAAGCACCATGCATGCATGCTGTCGAAGACTCGCAACCATGTATTATAATTGATGATTGAAGAGATCGAGCGAGAACAACAGGCAGGCATGCATGACTGTAGTGCACGAGACGTATGTACGTACGTGAGCGAGAGCCAACGCCAACTGGCTAAGACACGACGCACCTCGCCGCTCTCGGTGTGCCGGTGCAGTTGGTGGTTGTTTGGTTGGCGTCAGCGTTCAAAATTTTGGCCAAATTTCGGTGGTGGCGAAAAAAATCCAAAATTTTGTATGTTGTATATAATTCTAGACTTATATTTTCTATTGTTTATATTACATATTCTTCTATTTAATAGAGGTGTAGTCGTAAATCATACTAATATTTGTTTAGATTTATTTATTTTAGAAAAAACATAATTCATGTACTAGTCTCTAAAAAAAATTGCCGAAATATTTTATGAAATTCGTCAATTTCGGTGATGCCCGAAATTTTTGCGGCACCTACCGAAATTAAAAACCTTGGTTGGCGTGTTGGTTGATGAGAAACCGCCACGCACAAGACGCGCCTACCCGGCCCTCGTAAATGCGCTGTACACGCTGCTGCATTGCTCGCTTGCTCGCTCTCGGTGTCTCTCACGACGTCTCCTCGCTTCAAATTGGCAAATTCCTTACTACAAGCGATTTGCGTTTTTTGTTTGCAGGTAGCTTACCAATTTGAAAAATCGCACCAAGATTCGAATCAGTTTGGCCGACTTTAAAAATCGGCCTAGTTGACCCTTTTTTAACAATAGCACTAGTGGCTGATTTTTTTTTGTCCACAGGAGTTTGGGCTTGTCCCCCAAGCGCGAAAAATTTGATAGTGATCTTAAGTGTCTACCCCTCATGATTTAAGACTTTCTTTCCCTTCCTCGATCGATCTCCTGAGTATGTTTCGAGTGTTTTCAGTCGTTTTAAAGGTATGTTGCAAAAGTATATCGGGATGTTGCATACGTTGCAATGGTTGTACACTTATGTTGCAAACGTATGTCCCCAATGTTTCATCTGTTTTTCAGACGTATGTTGCAAGTGTGTTTATCTGAAAGTTACGTATGTTTTACGCATATGTTGCAAATGTTTTATATGGAAGTTGCGTATGTTTGCAAAGGTTTTCAAGTGTTTCATGTGTTTTTGTAAGTGTTTCAGGCGCATGTTTCAAATGTTCCATCTGTCTTTAGACGTATGCTACAAATGTTTCATCTGGATGTTTCGAAAGTATATCGGGTGTTGCACATGTTATAATGGCGCCAGTGGCTGGCGGCCAGCGCCCGTAGGGCTTCCGCTCCTACCTTGCACCTTCCTCGTGCGGCGCGCTTGCCCTCTCCTCTCCCTCAACTCCCTTTCATTCCCTCCATCTCGCCGCGCGCGGTGGTTCGAGCTCGGCTGGAAACCCTACCCGACGAGTACGCAAACGCCCACGGAGGTGGTGGCCCTGGGTGGGCCCACGGCAGTGCGATGCTCGCGTAGTGGCCCCGGAGCAAGCTGAGGTCCGCGCCATCCGCTAGCTACGCGCGGGAAACATGCAACCGCGGGTGTCCGGACACGGGCATCCGCCCGGACGTCCGGTCGCTAGTGACGCCCAGTAAAAAAAGCAAATATTGCATTGCATGCATACACAGTTTTAGTATGCGATACGGATGATTTCCTTTCCTGCACTTACTATAAATAAATAATATAGATACTTTTATTATTACTATAGTACAGTAATAGTAAAAAATAAAAAAGGGAAAGAAGTGAAGGCATGCAACTTTTGCTTGGTGGAAAAAGTCTACATTACCTCCGTCAACTTTCGCGAAAGCCTGTTTTTCTCCCTAAACTCTAAAACCGAACAAAATACCTCCCTCAACTTTTAAAACCGTTCATATTACCTCCCTAGCCTGGTTATAAGCGGGTTTGAAGGCGGTTTTGTCTTTTTCTTTTTTATTTATTTCGGCTGAATCTTTGAAAAATCATAGTAAATCACAGAAAAATCATAAAATAGAAAATTCAATTTTGTTGGACTCCACATGAATAGATCTATACAGTGAACATATAATATGGTATGCTTTAGTATAAAGTTTTTGCTGTAGCTTTAGATCCATGCTTTTCTGTAATTAAATGGAATAATTCTTAACTTCAGTTTCTATGGTCCAATTGTGATGAAATTTTTATGGTGGGCTAATTATTGTATGCTTAAACTGTAGTAAAAATTTCATACTTATTAGATCATGTATAGCTTAGTTATAAATTTTATTTAGGTTTATGCTTGTTAAATATAAACAAGAGTTGTTAAGTTTTCTTGAGTGGAAACCGGACAAAAAAAAACCAAACGAATTTCACATACAACTCCACACAAAGACCATCCAAACCTAAGCCGACTAAAACGGAGCATCAAAACGGCCTAGATTTTTTTGCTTATGATTTGGAGATGGTGTTGGATTCTCAGTGCCCCGTTAGGCACTTGGAATCCTAGAAAGTTCAGGTGCCTCCTTCGTTAATTCAGATCTGCTACCGTAAGATTTTTTTTTCCAGTGTCCTACCCACCAGTTATTAGAAAGCCTGTGCACGACCATAACAGCTATAACAGCTACAGTGTATATATACAGGGAGAGTATATTTAGTAGCCAACTACAAAATAAGTTATTCTGTAGCCACCTTTATTTACGATAATTTTATATACTAATTTACGATAATGCCAATACATATTTACGATAATTAGGTTACTATAACACATAGGGATATTTACCATAATGTTATAGTAAACCATTTAGTAAGGAGTTACTATAATCTCGTAAATTAACATATTAATTATCGTAACTCAAAGTGGCTACAGAATAAATTATTTTGTAGCTAGCTACAGGGTAGGGCGTATTTGCCTCGTATCTGAGATGAATATTTTGGTTTGGGGAAGATCGAGTGTCCTTCCCTCATCATCATCTCCAATCTAAATAAACAATGTAACACCCCGGTGTTATGCCTACATTTAGGCACTGCAAATCATGCATATCATGCATCATCAAGCATCCTAATCATACATGCATAATCTTGCATATAATAACTGAAACATTACTTCGAAACATACGAAACATGTTTGTGAAACGTAAATGATGCATACACTTATTAGAGTTGTTTTGCTCTGATTCTTGCTTGCTAGGTTAGTAGAACATGTTTGGCTGCTATTGTAAATCATCTAGCAATGTTTAGTTCAAATTTTGGAGCAATGTTTGTATTCAAATTAATTCAAAATTTGGCTTCAAAAATAAATTCCAAAAATTAGGGTTTTGAGCTAAACGTGGACTTTGATCTTCCAATGCAAAATCTAGAAAGAATTTGGCTGTGGTCCTAAAAGCAAAGTTGTAGAGAATTAAATTCTAAGCAACTTTCATTTTTGGTACATTTTCAAAAGAGGTCATCTTCTTACTCAAAATAAGATTTGAAAGCTGGCTTTTAAAAGTTCTTGAAAATATAAATGAAAAAGAGTTTTTCTGTTTTTCGCGGGTCAGCCGCCTGCTTTCGCCCAGCCCATAAGCCGGCCCAATGAAGCCCAGCCACGCCCGCCGCCTCGCCTCAGCCCAACCAGCACTGGCATGCCTCCTGCACTACTGCTGCACACACCACACACCTGCACCGATCATGGCCAGCAGGCAGAGCTATGCGCCACAGCGCTAGCACCTGGCGGCGACGCCCGCCAAGGCACTGTGGCGGCACTGCACGCCCACGCGCCGCCTTCTTCACTGGCTGATGCCCGCGCACTCGCCCCACTCGCGCCACACTTCCTCTTCTCTCCTCCAGAGCCGAGAGCTCGAGCTCGCCTTCGCCCGCGCCGCGCCCGCGCCAAGCTTAAGCTCCCGCACCACCACCACCATTCTCCCGATTGCTCGCGCCCGCAACTCCGCCTCGCCTTCCTTGAGGTCGCGCTCGAGCTTACTCGCCTTCCGAGCCTGGGTGAGCTTCCCGCGCCTGCCACCGACGCGTCCATGGCGCCCGTCGTGCTTTCGGCCGCCGGAGCGCCTCTTCCTCCCCTCTCCACCTCGCTTAGTTGCTGATCGCATTCGCCAAAGGCTCGCGAACCTCGTGGCGCCATTAGCTTCGCCTCGCCCGTGGCGGAGATGGCCGCCGCCCGCCTGGTGGCCGAAGCCAGCATTGTCACACACAGCCTTGACCGTGAGCCTTCCGCTTCACCGACCACCAAGCCGGTGCCCAGTAGGAAGCGGCCATGGGCCGAGGCCACCAGCAGCCGCGCTCCTCTCCTCCGCTTGGACCATGGCGGGCATGATGCGGTAATGGGCGAGTGATTTCCAGCCAGGCTGGCCCAGCAGTGTTTAAATGAATTGTTTTCAATTTATTCATTATTATTTGAAAACAGAAGTGGTTTGCAAAATATTTGGATACTCAAAGTTGCTCCAAATTTGTTGAAACAAATTTTGCTAGGTTCCTTATCATCAGATCTACTTGGGAAAAATTGTGCATGACATTTTTGAGATACTTTTCTATAGGATTTTATTTAATCTTGAATATTGCTGATAACTTGAAAAATATGTAGAAAAATATATAGGCTTCAGAAAAATATGATTCCAAGTTTGTTAATCTTCTTATGTCATGTACTTCCTAGGAAAAATATGTTTCATGCATGTGCTGTGGGAAAATTTTGAGGTGTAGTTCAAGTACCTTAGATGGCTGATTTTTGTTATTTTTGCTAGAGAGCAAAATTTGTATAAAACATGCATGTGGTAATTTTTGTATAGTGATTATTTACTGTTTAGAATCTAGGAAAAATACTAATTCTGTTGTTTGACACTTTTCATAGTACAAAGTAATTTCA